TGCAACTAATGTATTACCGGAGTCGATGTTAATCACAACAACGAAAGCACAGAATAAACCGAAAACTTGAAAACAATTCATTGTTTTTTTGGGTGTTTTTAACTAAAACTGTTTTGAAGTAAATATTTTTTTAAAATCTTAACTAAAAAGTTTGTTTGAATTGGTAATTGAATTATGAGTTATTTGTCGGAAACATTTCTCGCTTTTATACTCAAACATTTCACACATTTTTGTTGTTATTTACTTTATTTTTATTATTTATGTAAATGATATAATAATGATCATAAAAATTATTTGTTTAATGGATTTTGTTTACATTAAAAAAAATTGTTTCAAAAATCAAGAATCTATTGATCATTATATTGGATATATAATTACATGAAAGTAAAAGTCGACTTCGATTTGAATGATTTATTTGCTTAACAATTGATATCTGTTTATGTAATTTAAAACATTAAATTTGTGAGAAACACCAAACAATTAGTGTTTTAAATGTGTTATAAAAATAATAAAAAATAAAATAAAAGTTTCCTAAATTAACAGAAAAGTAATTTACAAACAATTATTACATAAACATTTATACTTTGACTTTTATAGTATATTTATTAATAGTATTATATTGAAAACAATTTTTAATGTAATAGATAAAAATTTATTTTTTATATCTTAATAATCAATTGATTTGATTTAAATTATTAATGCTATTTTATTAAAATAAAATATTTCCATGTTAAAATATCTTAATTTGTATCATAAAACAAAAACATTTTTAAAAATGTTAACACCAAATTTGTATATAAATTGTAAAACATTAAACAAGTAATTAATATAAACTTAATAATAATAATTATTTTAAATGCAATATTAATTGTAGATAAAAGCTAGTAATTTTAAAATATAATAACAAAAAATAGTATTATTCTAATGAAATACTACTAATTTTTGTCAATTTCTATGCATATTAATTATAATATCATTTAAACCTGTTTTAGAAAGAAAAAGAGAGAAAGTCAGTGAAAGAGAGAGAGAGAGAGAGAGAGAGAGAGAGAGAGAGAGAGAGAGAGAGAGAGAGAGAGAGAGAGAGAGAGAGAGAGAGAGAGAGAGAGAGAGAGAGAGAGAGAGAGTTTATGCTTCAATTAATATATAAAATAACATATTATTATTTCTATAATTTTTATTAGTATTTTAAAAGTCTATTTTTAAAACTTTCTTGAAAACAACTTTAGAAAATTTTATTATATTTATATTTTTAGAGCAATCAATTTGATCAATCATTCAAATAATATGCATATACTTTAAGTACAGTATATCTTATAAGTTGACAATATTTTCACACACTTATTGTATAATACTTGATAACTACTTGAAAACTACTCTATTTTGTTTAAATTTTCAGTAAAATTGTCGCTTAATATATTCAATCAATTAGTTTTCCCAAAAACTAGTTATATTACAATTAAACTACAATATTCAATAGGGAAATACAGTATAGTTTATTATTAATGTTATTTTCATAATGATTTTATACTAGTCTATGAAAATCTTCCGCTATAATTACTTTTTTAAAATTCGGGCTGTTATTAAAAAAAGTGTAAATAATTTGTCATTAATTAATTAATTCATTTATTTTATTTGACTTACAAAAAATAATATAATATAAGTTGAAATAATTAATTTTAATAAAAGTTTAACACATAATTATATTTATGAAAGTTTTAGTATATAAAGCAATGAAGTTTCTATTGAAATGTTTTTTTCAGTTTCAATTTTCAAGTTATTTACTGAATTTATTGATCATTATTGTCATAATGTAGAGCTTCTTATAAATAATGTAATAATTAATTTATTGTTTGGTTTAAAACTAAAATGTGACTAAAATTTTTTTTCTAAAATAACAAGTTAGTTTTTAATTTTTAAAATTTGTTATTATCATAAACTTATTTTTGATTGAAAATTTTATTAGTATAATAATATAAAAATATTTTTGTTTATATTAGTATTTGTATTATATTATTAGTATAGTATAAAAGTTACAAATGTCAGGCCTCTGGTTATTATACTATAAAAATAGTATTTTTATTGTAAATATTTTTCACTTGTTTTTATATTTATAGCTTTGAAACAAATGTTACAAATTAATGTTAAACATTATAGTGTTTTACTTCAGGGCATTAAACAATACATTAAATTATTTTTTTCAGTCTTGCAAAATCATTGAGAATTTTAATATTTAATTTTTTAAATTTTTAAAATAGATATACAGTTTAATATTTGTATCTGATATATTTTAATTAAATTTATATTTTTTGTTAATAATGTTTAAAAAAAGCACTAATTTACAGTTATAGCAAATTTTTAGTAATTTTATACAAAATTAGTTGATAATTTAATTTAATTTTACTACTTGTATGATAATAAGTATTAAGATATTACTGATATTATTAATTAAATACAAATTAAAAACAATATTAGATCATAAAGTTATCAAATAGAAATTAATGACTGATAAAATATTTCAAGTTTAATAGACTAAATTCATAGAAATTATAAATCTGGATAATATTAACTATTGATTATATTGATAGTTGATATGAACTGTATTATATTACATACCGTTGATATAGTAATCAATGGTTTATAAGTATAAATTACTAATGATTAGAAAATGATTTACATGTATTTTATTAAATCAACTAATAAACATTAATTTATAAAAATAAATTATTTTTTAAATAATAAAGTAGCTGTCAAAAAATATTAAATAAGTTTCAGCATTTTTTAGCTGATTATAACAACATTTAAATATTAATATTATATTAAATTGCATTAACATTATAATATACAGTAGTTTTTTTAATAATACATAACAATTGTAATTTAATATTTTTACATAAAACTTCTAAATAATCTAAGTTATTAAAAATGTTTTTTATATAACTTTATCAAATAATTAATAAATATTTATATAATTTATATAAGTTAATATCTAAGCAGTTAACTTATGGCCCATTTATAAGTAATGCAATACTTTAATTACAATAGAAATTATTGTTAGTTTTTAAATTATAACTAATTAAACGCATTAATATAAGATAACACATTTATATAGCAATTAATATCGTATTTAATGTGCATTTAAAAACTATTTATAAATTTCACTTAACTAAAAATTTAAATTTTAGTGGCAGTTTAAATGATTGCAAAATAAATTTGATTTAATAATATTAATCTATTTACAAGATATTAACCTGAGATTAGTAAATTTGAGTTATTTATTAATTAAAAATAATAATAAAAATTTCTTTAAATATTCATATCATAAAATTTATTATTATTAGTTACAATATTTTTATTTATTTCATCTATTGAATATTATAACAATTTTAATAATTTATTATAATATTAATTTGCTATATGATCATATCTTAATAAATTATTGCTGAATTTTTAAGCAATAATATTAGTCATAATAAAAATAATTTATTTGCACTAATAATATTAAATTAAAATAAATATGTTTATGTTTTAGAAATTAATTTATTAATATTAAATTTTGACAGTTTAAGATAACCATTTATATATTTACAATATGTAAATATTGTATGAACAAGTGTAAAAAATAATATATTAATTATAAAAAAATATATAATCCAATAAAAGGCAAATTAGTTATTGTTATTTAGATTACTAATAAACATTATAAATTAAATTAAATTATTGAAAATTATTAACTAATTATCCTTCAATTTGTCAATAATTATTACTGTGGCTAGTAAATTTCGAGACAGAATTTTTGTACTAAGTTTTTCTAAAATAATTCGAATATTAGAATGTTTTATATTTTTGTTTTAATGTACATATTTTCTATGATTATCACTTATCAAAATAATAGTAGTTTAATATCTTTGTCTAAAAAGTTTTCGGAATTATTTACAAAAATATTTGATAAATGACATTTTAAAACAGTAATCTTTTTTGATATTTTTATGTTTAAAATAAAAATAAATTTAAACAAAAAAATATTAATTTTAAAGAGTAATATTTGATGTTTATTTTTTAGTAAAAATCAGTAAGTTTATCAAATGCTTACAATTTTTAATAAATAATTTTATCTAAAATTAGGTCTAAATTTGTCTTCCAAAATAGCACAATTTTAATTTTTAATAATGTTTGGTATTTTCGTCAATAATAAAAAATTATTTTATTATTTTCTTAAAAGCAGGCAACATAATATAATATTTAATCATTTTAAAAAATTTATTAGAATAATATAATTTTAATAAATAACAAAAACATTTTAAAATTTATTTTCGTTTTTTAGAAATAAGTATAAATTGTATTTTTTTGTAATTTTTCATAAATAATTCTTTAATTGTCAGAAATCTAATAAAATAAAAATACTTGTATTATTTTATCAGGATTAATAGTTTTTCTTAGATTTTATAAATTATACAATTCTAAAAATTGAGGTTACTAATTTTGTAGCATTATAAAACTTTAATTATTATACTATAAAATATTTTAAAAAATTAACAATAATAATGAATATCTCTACAATTTAATACCATAAAAAAATAATTTTTAATTATTAAACCGAATGCAGAAAAATCTATTAAGTTTTCATATTACAATTTGTCTCGAAATATATTTGCCACAGTAATATATTTAACTTAAAGGCATTAAAATATCAATGAATTATTTTGGTTATTATTTTCTTTGTTTTGTAATTTAGATTAAGCCTCAAAACATTTTTTATATGATAATTGTGTTTTTGTTTATAATTTTATTTGAAAGATTATTTTTTTAATTGTGACACTTTTTTAGACAAACAATTATTGTTTGTGGTCCACACTATCAAGGATTTAAATATAAACTGTTTTTTAAAATAATTATTTAAATATCAATTTCTTTGAATTATTTGTTTAGATTTCAAGGATTTCGTAATCACTGATAAATATTTTAGTATAAAAGCGATACAACTTTCTCTTAATTTTAATAAAAATAATTTAATCAAAATTGACTAATATTTAAGTGATAACTAACAGTTATAAACAGAAAAAAATGAATTCAATGGTTAGTATAATTTATTTTAGATTATATTTTCTAAAATCATATAATAATTAATTATATTTTTGATGTGTGTTTAACAGTTAGTTTTGGCTGCTCTGGTATCTGCAACAGTAGCGGTGCCTACATATGATAATTCCCAAGTTGTCTATGAAGATGATAACCATTACGCCCGACAAGTGTCCGCCAAATCATACGCCGCTCCAGTTGTCTCATACGGAGCTCAGATAGTCAAACATGAAGTGCCAATTGAGAGACCGATTTATAGTAAATCATACGCCCAGCCAATTGTCTCATACGGACCTCAGATAGTCAGACATGAAGTACCAGTTGAGAGACAGATTTATGGTAAATCATACGCCCAGCCAATTGTCTCATACTCGGCTCCTGTAGCCAAACAATACGAAGTGCCAATTATGCGACCTGTCTATCGCGAGTCATACGCTAATCCGAGAGTCCATTACCAATCATCGCCTGTGATTCAAAAAAATTATGACGTGCCCGTAGCAGAGCCCGTCCACCGTCACCAACCTATGTCATACCAGTTTCATATAGTACATGACGCGCCCACCCATTACGGCAAGTCATACGCCGCTCCTCAATACGATCACAGAGTAGTAGCCACACCAGTGTTGGCCAAATCGTATGCCACACCTGTGCTTCACAAGTCTTACGCCACACCGATAGTCGCCAAATCATACGCCGCACCCATTGCTGCTCCCTATGTGTCAAAATCTGTCGGTCAGTACGGTCTGGACATTGCTGTCGGTCACTACCAGAAGGCATATTAACTCAATTATTGACTCAATTAGAGGAACCGATTGACTTAATTAATAAATTGTATGATAATATAGTTGAATAGTTTTTTGGTTCCCTTAAGTATTAAAGTTTTTATATGATTTTTCAGATAATATTTACTAAAACTTATATTTTATTATTATAAATATAATCTAAATATAAGCTGAACCTTTGATATAAATACTGTATATATAAATTTGATAAAAATGATTTGTTAAGTAATTATATACCGGTATATAATTTTCATAAACAAATTATATGTTTTTCCTAATTTTTGTATTTTATTTTTTTACAAATATAAAATTGTAAATACTTTATATATAATCAATGTACAATATTAAAATAAATAATTTTTGAAATCAAAAAATAATGTTATATTGGTAATTTTATTTATAAAATTTAAATTTTCATAATTGTACTAGGTACATAATAAATATAAATATTAAGACAGATTTTAATAAATAATTTAAATATTAGATATTCTTAAATTATATAAAAAGTATTATAAATATTAAAAGTTTCAATTATTATTGGCTTATAATATCAATTATTTTTATTAAAAAAACCATATTATCTATTGAATGGCTAGACTATCAAAGTACAGTAGTAGTAGTAGTAGTACTTGTATTACTATGACATTACTTAGGATAGGGATTGCAGACACTGGTACAGGCATAGTTGGGCTTACAGTCCACTTCACTGGCACAACGTGCTGTTGCCGACCTACGGTTAGTACCAGACCAACACCATTCGTCTGATCGGCCAAACGAGTAGCACCGGGACCAACATCGGCGTCGATAGCATCCATAGGCGACCGGCAGCTTCTGTGGGATTCCACGGTTGCGGTCAGTTGTTTGGCTCATAACCAGTGCCACCATTGAAATGACAATTAACATAACCAGAACTTTGTAAGACATGGTTTTTTAGTTATTTTTTTTTTGTTCAATTAACGATAGCTTTAGATTAATTATCAATGACTATCAGATATCAATTGATAAGCTATTTATATACTATTAATATTTTGAAGGACTTGTTGTTTGATGTATTAAAAAGGATGTTTAGTAACACACATATACTGTAAATTAATTAATGTGTTATAATTTATTAGGCAATTGTTATAATAACCTTTGAATGGGATGTTAGGTTTAGTTTAATGTTGATGTTTGGGTTCAATTACCTATTAATAAAATTTATTAATTTTTTTATATAATACATTTTTTTGTTAAATTGTGTCTAATTTAATTTAAATATTTAATTAATTTTTTTCAAACAGTATTTAATGATTAAATATTTATAAATAAAATAATTTTTTAAAATAATTATTGTACAAAATAAAGTAAATTACTGTTTATTTTATGTTGTTAGTTTAACAAATCAAATAAATTTTAATAAAGTATTACACAAATTAAATAATAATTTATTATATTTTTTATTATTTAAAACATTTTTCTAAATATAATTAAAGTCTATTTAGCAATTTAAATATTAATATTATTTAAATTTGTTATCATTGAATATATTAGTTTAAGTTTTAAAAAATTAAAATTTTAAATTTGATAGAAAAAATATACTGATGTATTATATTCATGCATTAGACAGTTTCATTTTATTAAACTTCAATTATTATTAATAATAATAATAGAGAAACCTATTAATTGTGTTAAATTTAATAATAATAATTTATTTAAATAACTTTTTATTATTACAAAATTCTTAATTTTATAATTTATTTTATTAATAATATTTTAAGTTTTAAATAATAATTAACTTTAAATCTTTTAGTGATATATTAATAGAAAGTAGTTTAAATGTTGAATACTGTATTTTAATTGCAATGATATTTATATAAAAATAAATATATTGTCATTGATATATTTTATATACTATAATGATATATTATAATCAAAATACCATTGTAATAGTTTTCAAATTTTTATTTAAATCACAAATAAATAAATACATTACAAGACACATACAAACAATATATACTTTATAACATTCATGTGTTAGTTGCATGGTTAAGTATTACAAAAATTAAATAAATATTAATTCCATATATTTATAATTTAATTTTACAATAAATAAAATTTTATATATAAAAAAAATAAATATATATAATCTAAATATAACTTTTAGATAATAGATTTAAATGAAGCAAAGACTACCACAGTTGAACTTCGGGTGACAGTCATACTTGTCTCGGCATGAGATCCACTGATTGGTCAGTTGTGAGCCCCGTGTTTGCCAACACCACTCGTTGTTTATGCCTAAAAAGGCACATCGAGACCAACAATAGCCCCGATGACAGCCGTACGCTTCGGTAGGTTCGGGAACTGATGATGGATTCGACGATTGACTGACGACCAGTCCAACCAAACCCAAAGCGATCAATACAAACATCAGTTTAGCATTCATTTTGCAATTTTTTTTGAGTTGGATTTGATTGATAAAATAATTCAATATTATTTTTTTATTATTAGTTAAAATTTCTAGTGACTTACTATTGCTTTTATACCAATTTTTTTATTGTTTTGTATTTGAGAGGACAGACCCTTCCTCTTCTCTGTTATCATCACTTGAGGTGTCAATAAACTGATGATATAATTTACTAATTATATTGATATACTTTTTTCATTTATTTTTTTGTTTATTATACAAATTATAACACTATAAACACTATTACCGGTATAACCTAATTAGATAATCTACTGTTTGTTTTATAATTTAAATTTTTGTCAATAATAGGATGTTTTCCTGAAACAAATATATATTTTTATAAAAAGTTTGTAAATCTTTGTAAATTTGTATATATATATATATATATTTTTTATTTTAAAATTAATTTCATTCATATTTAAATATTTTAATAATCTTTCAATGGAATTCAATTATATTTATAATAATATTTTTTCTAATCTAAACAATATTCAGCAAAGATATAAATTATAAAAATTTAAAATAATATATTTAATATTTGATTATTAATAACTCATTAAATTGTTGAGTAAACATATTTATACATTTGAATATAAGTTTAATAAATTTTGAAATAAACGATTACTAGACTATTAATATTTACTTAGAAATTATCAAAAAAGTTAGTACCAAAATCCAAAATAGTTGAATAGTTATTTTTAAAAAATAATACTTAAAAACTCTTATTATTTTATTTTATTAATAATTTCTGTGTACATATTAATGTTTATATTACTCACTCAATAAAAGTTTTTATCATATTAATGATTATCAAAAAATGATATATTTAAATAGTGATCAAACTTATGCCATATTTAATTGCAAACTATTTTTACTAATCTTATGACCACTTCAGACAATCATTAGATGTCAAATCAGAGGTCAATTACTTATTGACCACCACTTGTCTGTCAACCAATTGTCACTAAACACAAGTCAAAGACTGTTTAATAGTCAATATGTGCGCAAATAAGTGGTATCAACGACTTGGTGTCTAAAACAGGTCTTAAATGCCATTTATCGCCATTATATTTAGCTTCTTATCTGTAATTAGATTATAGTTTATATAGTTATATATTAATTAAAATAATATAAAATCAAATTGTTTTGGTATTGTTAGCAAATTTGCAAATTATAGATCCGTTGTTTCTTTTTTTTTTGTGACCAATTACTTGTGCCAAATAAAGACTATGGATTAAAATATTATTGTAATTGAAAATTATGTTTTTGTGTATAGTTTGATAAAACTGAAATTATTAAACTAATTCATTGAGTCTTTTTAGTAGTAAATATTTTATCTTCAAATTATTAATGAAAAAAAAACAATTTTAAATAAATTTCTGCTACAATTTTATCTATCCCTAAACAAATACTAAATAATAAAATTAATATATTCAATATTATTAATTAGTTACTAAAAAAAGTTAACATATTATTTGATTAATTAATATTTTATGTATTTTTTGTTTTATTTATTGAATATGTATTGTATATTATGTATAGTACAACATTTACATTTATTGCCATTAAATATTACAGTCAGTCCTATCATTTAAATAGGGAATTAAAAAGTTTGACCCATAAATAGACATTTGATGGGAAATAAATTCAGAGAAAGTTGAATATATTCTAAATATGACAAAAGTATTGAATTTCTAGTTATTTATTATTAGTACTTATGTCGTATATTTCACATATTTAAAGTAATAACAATTAATAATATACTATATATATATATATATATGTAAAACATTAGTTGAATTTTACGGCATTTACTCATTTGACGCACCAATAGATTAAAAAAACTAATTTTATTTTTATTAAAACATTTTATTTTAATATGAAATTGTATTACAATTTAGTTTATATGTTGCAGTCGTGAAGCACAGGTATATCTAAGCATAAAATGTAAGGTCAGTGCTGACCCTTATATAGAGATTTTAGGCAATACTTGACCCATAAAATAGTCGGCAGTTATTTGAAAAGTAATAAACATATAGAAAGTGAATACTTTCTATAAATGGCAAAAATGCTAAATTTAAGTCTATTTGATAATTAAATTATTGCTATATTTTAGTGAAATATAGATATTTTAAAGTTATTTTCAAACATAGTGTTTATACTTTACATATATATAAAAATTAACACTACTATTATACAGTACCTACAATGTACTATATATACTACCAATAAATTATACCAATATTATACCAATATATATAATGTATCCATATTTTAGATCTAATCTGCAAATTATATCTTAAGAGTATCTAATGGACATAAATTTATTATTAATTTGTTTATGAATTAATTGTTTAACATTAATGAACAATGATTATGATATGAAATTATGATTAATTAATGATGAGTCTATGGCACAGATATTTCATTGATTGAACTAACTATAGTACTAAATGTGTCTCTTAGGGCTCTCAAATTGTATTAATACTATTGTTATATATATATATAAATCAAAATCATATGTAATAACATCTTATTTGACAATTGATAAATCAATACTAACATAAACTATTAAATTAAAAATTTATTATTAAATTGTCAAAAAGTACGGATTTATATCTTATCATAATCAAAAAAAAATTATGATAATAAATTATTAAAAGTAAAATTATTGAATCTGAACTTCTCAAAAAATAGTTCACAAAAAAATCAATTGTTTTATTTACAATATTAAATATCTACTAATAGAAATTAAAATATAAATGTGTTTTTTATTTAAA